GCCGGGAAGGACCGCCTGGCACCGGCGGCGAGGGGGGCTCTCAAAAAGGCAGAGAAACAAAGAATAATAGCATCCAAACTCAGAAGTTTACCGACCTTGTGCTAACAGCAGCGTTTGATTTACATCGCCGAAACCTCGTTTTACGGGTCTGACCCCCGTGAGGCTAACAGTCCGGTGAGATGCACCGCTATGATCTGTGCTGTGCGAGGAGAATGTACCTGCGCAAGGCTAAGAGTCGGGATCTGTGCAGTCTGCTGGTGATAAACTTCAGTGGGATGAGTTTTCAGAATTTGAAGAAAATTTTTAGCCGAGCCTCGTAAGGATACTTTTAAAGATACTGAAAACTAAACAAACCTGAAATATCTTGAAAATAATCATTATTCACGATCAGGGAGTGTATTAAGGAGATCTAATGTTATTCTTTTTTTCTTTTTAGCATATATTTGCTCCCCAGTGCTGCTTGTTGTCAGCCCATAAAGATACACTGGAAAAGCGCAGTAGTGCTGAAATATGATTACTTGCATGTGGTCCATTTGGTAATATTGGGTACCACAGTGCAATCTATTTACGTGGAAATTAGGACAATGTCTCCCTTAAATGCCTCTCTATCTCGGGCAAGGCAGGGACAGAGGTAATTAGCTGTCCTCCGACTGCCCAGTAAGCCTCCGATGTGTAAATTGCCCATTCACTCAGACGTGAATAATTCTTAACATAATAAATGCATCATTATGAACATGTGGAGGGATTAGGAAGGAAAGGTAGCGTGAGCCTCACGTTTTTTTCAAATAATGGATGAGCTCTGCCGAGGTCTTACCACCTCCTCAAAAAGATACACGTTGCCAGTTTGCTACCGGCAAACATTTCCTGCGTTCCGCTTTGGCTGTTACGGCAAGACTGATGCACTGAGTGTATAAAGAAGAGCATACGTACATCGCCTTCTCTGTAACATGAAGGGTATTGCTTCTCCGTTTGCACTGGACAGAGAGCATAACCAATACAAAAATGATTATCCGCTAAAAGGCAAGGGCAAGATCTTCAGAATCGCATCCATGTTGCTCAGCTCCACTCCCGTGCCCACCTTCTGCAGCCCAAATCAGCAGCATCCCACCGCTCTGTAGGATGGCCCATCATTTCTGCCTGGCACAGCCATCCTCATGAGGAGAACCTCCCTTTGCCACGCTGACTGTCAGGCTGTGCTCTGCCAGGATCTCATATTTATTTATAGCTTCCATTCTGGGGAGCATAGTGGCTTCTTGCTCGGCGCAGGCTTGCTCAGACCATGACTCCTTTCCCAAGGTGAGTAAATTGCACTAATAGAGTTTGTCTTGAGCTGATCTGTTCAACACTAAACTTAGCCCGCTGCACGAGGAAATGCCGTGCCCGTTTCTGGGGTGAGAGGGAGGCAGGACTGTCCATGGTGAGCAGCGAGGCTCAGGCGCTTGCACGCCTTTAAGTTGTTCCATCTCGATTGGGCAGGGGTGGTCATCAGCACATTTTGGGAGCCTTTGCTTGCTTCTTATAGCTGCTTTATCTAATTAGGCTGATCACCAGGGGCTTGGGAAACCAATCAAATAGTTGTATTGGTTTCTGCAGGTAGTCTTTCACATGTGTGTGTTCAAAAGCACTGCCCTGTGCAGTTAAAGCAGCTCTGTCAGCCGCAGCTTGGACAACAACCCTTTCCCCAGATATTGATGCTTCCCGGGGAGATCATCATTGTGGTGTATGAGGGAGGCCAGCAGAACAGCGTCCTTGGGAAATGGCTGTGAACAATCTCAAGCAAATACACTGTCCCCGCCTTGTGCATAAACTGTGAAAGCTGTCAGCCTTTCTTCTCTTCTTCTTTCTGACAAGCAGCCTTATTTGAAAGATTTCCATACTCCGGCAAGGCGTTACCGAAGTGACCAGAGACTTAGGGTATCCCCATTTTTGAGTGTCCATCTGGAGACAGCATGGTCAAGGGGCTTGTTTTCAGATCTGTGCTCAGCTTTTGCCCTTCCTAGTTTAGCACACAAAAAGCTTGGAACAAGTGCTGAGAGAGGTTGTGGAGTCTCCATCCTTGGAATTATTTAAAACTCAGCTGAGCAGAGATATGAGCAACCTGCTCTATATTTTAGGTTACTCCTGCTTTGAACGAGAGGTTGGACCACATGCCTTCCAGAGGTCCTCTCCAAACCAGATTTTTCTAGATTCTGTGCTCTAATGGGCCAAGGCATCAGCTGTGCTCCAGGGTTTGGAGGAAAAGCCTGTGATTCTTGCTGGGGAAGGAATCAGTTTCTGCAGAGCCAGAAGTGGAATACACTGATTTATTTGAAGACTTCTTTAACCTTCAGCCAGTAGTCATGATGGAGTGGTTCCATCAATGCTGTTGGATTTGCAGAGGGAATTTTGGTCTCCCAAGTGCCCTCTGGATATCTTCAGCTCACAGTCAGTGAGATGGTGCTAGTGAGGAATTATGATGTGAAAGTTCTGAAGTTGCTCTGAGAAACCTTGCACTTGGGTAGTGTGTTGCTGCCTTGTAACCAATGAGAGAGGATTAATATAGCATATCTGACACTGCAGAAAAATGACCACTGCTTGTTTTCTTGCACCTGGGAGAGTGAGACAGATGTCTATAAGGCAGCATAAAATGCCTAGATCAGGTCACATTACTCTTTTGCAATTTTGTTCTCACGAGATGTTGCAAATAGACCTTAATTTGTGAAAAATGCCTTTTTTTTCCCCCCTAGGATCCTGCTCTGTTCACTTTAAGAAGACTGTAGCCTCAAACGTCTGTAAAAGCTTTTGGCCTCAGTTTTTTGTTAACTTCTCTGCCTTCTCTTTGCAGACATGAATGAGGAGCGGTTGGGTGATGCCGGTGGAGCAGACAATGCTGAGACCTACAGTGACAAAGACACAGACCAAAGGAGTTCCCCAGACATGACTAAAGCCAAAAGTTGCTTCACCCCTGAAAGCCCTGAAATTGTTTCAGTGGATGAGGTCGGTTATGCAGTTCAGAAAAATGGTGGGAGCACAGAGAGCCGTCCAGAGAGCCCCAAGTACCACCCAGAGCAGAACCACCTCCTGATAGAAGGTCCTTCCGGGACAGTTTCCTTACCTTTCAGTTTGAAAGCCAACAGACCTCCACTGGAAGTCTTGAAAAAGATCTTCCCTAACCAAAAGCCAACTGTGCTAGAGTTGATCCTGAAGGGGTGTGGCGGTGATCTGGTGAGTGCTGTAGAGGTTCTCCTGTCCAGTCGGTCTTCGGTGGCCAGTGGGGAGAGAACTTCTGCAGAATCTGATGGTCTTGTTTTGCCTTCCAATGGGCACATTTTTGAACACACGCTGAGTTCATATCCTATTTCCTCTTCCAAGTGGTCTGTGGGCTCAGCATTTAGGGTTCCCGACACACTGAGGTTCTCTGCTGATTCCACTAATGTTGTGCCAAATCCTCTGGCCGTACCTTTGCAGCACCCTTTCCCTCAGCCACCACGCTACCCGCTGATGTTGAGGAACACTTTGGCAAGAAACCAGTCCAGCCCGTTCCTGCCCAACGATGTCACCCTGTGGAACACCATGACGCTGCAGCAGCAGTACCAGCTGCGGTCCCAGTATGTCAGTCCTTTCTCTAGTAACTCGGCCAGCGTTTTCCGAAGCTCGCCCGTCCTTCCTTCCCGCTCGTCAGAAGATCCTAGGATCTCAATCCCTGATGACGGGTGTCCTATTGTGTCTAAGCAACCGATTTACACAGAAGATGAGTATGATGAAAGGTCTGATTCTTCAGACTCAAGAATACTCAACACATCTTCTTAGACTGACGTTCGACACATGATAGCTAAGTGATACTTGCAGTGCAGCTGAACTACTGGGCCCTAAGAGGAGGGACACGTACTCTACGAAACCCTTGCAATTGTATTAAAAAGTGACTTTGCTTGGTATTGTACTGTAGCAATAAAGACATAACTTATTTAATTTCTTGCACTTCACTGGATAATGCCAAATAGCAATACTCTGGCTTTAGTGCTGAGTGTGTGTTACAAAGGAAGACTTTACGGCTATCAGTTATGGGACTCTGGAAGACTCATAATGGAAACAGAAGCCCAAGGTCTACTTTGTTCCTTAACTCAGAAAAATGGGGATGTTAAACTAGAATACTTGAATGCTGTTTTATAAGAGAGAACTCCTCAGGACATAAGAAATCAAACAAACGTAGTTCAATTGCAAATGGACTAAAACAAAGACCTTAACAATCTTATGCCAGTGATCATCCTTGCAGTGAAAGAAAAGGCAGAAGAAAGAAATATTCACATGAAACTAGCATGAGCTGCTTCTGTGCCGTTTGAGCTTGGACAATATTGAGAGTTATTCTTTTCCCATGTCTAGGTTGAAACGTGTAATGTCAGTGTAAAACCAATTACAGCTGTGAATTGCATGAAGTGTATTGTGAAATGAACACAAGATTAAACATTGTCAGGTTAATGTAGCATGCTAAGGACTCTAGAAAAATAAACTAAGATGATGATCTTGGTTTATGTCATTTATACTGGGCAAATAACATTTCTGAAGATAGAGAGCTGATTAATCCTCAGCCGGGGTTAAAATGTCCAGCTCCAGCAACTGCAGTCAAGGGAAGCCTCTTTTTCCATGTCCAGGTTCTGCCTCCCTGCCTTGTAGCTTGTAACCGAGATTAGGCAAATGTTATCACAAGGAAGCTGAGGTCTCTCTTCAGTATGTACTGCAGACACTTCCAAGCTCAGCTGAGTAAAGCAGAGCTTGCTACAGTCACAGCAAGCAGAAAAAAAGGCTCTCCCAATGCTTCAGAAGAGTCTTTTTTCCTATACTGTAGAAGTAGAAAAAAGGAGATAGGATGTAATAGCACGCATTTCTTTAAAGTAATGTTTAGCCAAATGGCAACTTCCCTAAATCTAGAAAAGTAATGGTTTGAACAATTTATTGCATGTTTGCATGCATTGATTACACTGCATATCTTATGTGTGTCAGAGTAACATTAGGAATTACTTCTGATGAGGAATGCCACTAAATTAATTGTCCACTTAGAAGTTTGTTAAGGTTTTAGTGCCATTTTTTTCAACTGTTCACAAGCGACCGCATTTGCTTGACAGTTGGCTTTTCCAAAACACACCTCTGAACGCAGATGAAATGGCTGTCAGGCCTGTCATGTGTACGGATTAGTCCCACACCTCAAAAACAATTGAGGCTGCCCTGAAGTTGGACTCTAAAGCAGATGGGCTTTAAATATGTAATACATATCAGGTGTGTTATCTGGTGTCATTGCTGATAAAAATGCCTGTGTTCTCATTTGGCATTTCATATTTTGTAAGGTCTGTGCACCCAGTGAATCTTGCATTTTATAAGTGTACTGAACACGCACAAAACGGAGAATAAAATAAACAATTATTTTATTTTCCTTAGGGGATAAATGAACAGAAAGATACTTCTTCTTGCATAATTTTCCAACCTGTTCAGAAAAGCAGTTTGTTGATAATGCTACAGAGCAAAGACATAAAGGCAGGGGGAGGGAGGAAAGGAAATAAATAGCTTCCCTTATGGAAGTGTAAATGTGAAAACATCTGGAATCTTCATAGATGCAGAATTACAGTTTTGTACTGACAGATTTGCCTGTACTCACATGGCACTTACAAATTCATCTTTCAGCCACTCCAGAGAGAAAAGTAATAGGCAAAATAAGCTTGTTCTTGCAAACAGAAAGGGATGAGGTAATGAAATGCTCTGCTCCAAAATCACGGAGAAATTAAATGTCAAAGGCTAGATAAGAACAGATAGGTCAAGGAGCTCTGGTTTTGAGCTCATGCACCAAGCAGGTTTCCCTCCAGCAGAAACCTTTGTACAGGCATTGCTGTACATTAAATGAATTTTTTTTTTTTTTTTTTTTTTTTGCTACAGAGGGCAAATCATCTCCAGCAGAAATACCAGACAGTGGTGCCTGCCACAGCTCGTAGTGACCTTACACACTATGGCCTGTGGGGTTTCAGAGAACAGAATTTTGGCAACTTGGAATTGGGACACACCTTTCAAAGAAAGGTGACCCTTGGCTAACCTGGAGAGAACTGTTATCACTCTAAATACTTGAAAAATGCAGATTCGGCAGTATGATTTTTTAATTAGATGTCTTTTGATAAACTGTTTTCTGAAAAAGCAACAAAGTTAAAATGATCCTTATCCAGTGCTATAAAATATCTTTTGATTCAATTTACAATTCTTTTTTTTTTTTTTTAAATAAAGTAAACCTAAATGTGTTCAAAATCAAAAATGCAAGTTTTGACGTTGAACAACGTTTTTTGTTTGACCACACAATAGTTGGCTATCCAGAAGATTAATTTTAAAAAAAAATATGGATTGGCCTGCAACGATATCTTTGAGAAATTACTTTATTCACCCAGCTGTATTTTCCAGGCTGGCACTACAGGCAAACATAGTTTTTAACTTCTAGCTGCCTCACAGCAAGGATCCCTTGGCGTGTTGGCAGGACCTCTTTCTGCCCGCACAGTGCTGGGACCTGTTCCTCAGACCCTCACCGTGCTGGTGGGAGATGCCCACCCACTCCCACCCTCGCAGCGTGGGCAACCGAGGGGCGCGGGAGCCCCTTTTCTGCAGAAGCCCTGGGTGCCCCGTCCAGCTGGGGCCCACGGCGGCCACCCCAGAGCTGGTGGTCCCCACTCTGGCTCCGGCCGTGCGGCCGTGCTTTTAGCGGGGTCGGTGACAGCTGTGTCGCCGCAGCTGGCAGCAGCAGGGCTGTGTCCGGAGCCTGCAGAGCGCCCGCGACCGAGCAGCATCCTTTCCCACAGCTCCGGGGTCCGGGGGAAGGCTTGCGGGTATAGCACCCAAACCCTGCGTTTTCCAGCTCCATCTTGTGGTAAAAAAGGGTATTTCCATGTCGGAGCAAATACGTCATGCTGTGGAAGGGAGAAGACGCGTGGGTGAGGAGGGGTAAGGCTGGAGGCATTGATGCTCAGAAACCCCCAGCGGAAAAAATGAATTTAAGCATCAGAAAAGATGGCTTGAGCCTGGCGAGGTCTCTGCTGAAGCCCAGAAACCAAGGGGTCCTTTTTTTTTTTTCCTTTTTTTTGGGTGCTGGAGCAGCTGTGGCTTTCTTGGAGCAAGAGAGCTTCACCCCTTGCCCTCTGCACAGTTCCTGCTCCTGGTCGAGCAGCTGCCCGGGTGCCTCTCTGGGGTGCCCCAGGGCTGCTTTTCCTCCTTTCAGGCAGGTGATTTCACTGTCAGCTCTCCGTGGGTGCACACAAAGCCAACGGGCAGTGCCACGGGAAGCTGTCTCTGCCCACGGCTCTGCTTCTCATCAGCAGCGGTGCAGGCCCACCAGAGATGGGAGCAGTACACTCTGCAGAGGCTGGCTGCTGCCCCAGAGGCACGCTGCTTAATGCCTGCTCGTTAACCTCTAGATGTGACAAGGTGGATAAGGCCAACGATGATGCAAACAATAACAACAATAATTTCTCCCTCAGAGGAGTGCTGTGGAGAGCCCTAATGCGATGCTTACATTATCCAGCGGCTCACGTACCTGTAGATAAGGGAAGAGTCAGGGTGAGGGGGTAAGCATGGCGCAATTAGTCTGTCCTGCCCCACATTCCTCCCTGCCTTGCCTTTGCCAGTGGTTGTGCTGCTCCCCCCGGGGGTCCCCGACTTGTCCTCCTTTGGGCCTGAAGGGCCACCCCTACAACATTTGTTGGATGCTTGGTGAACAGGCTCACCTCACATTTGTGCTGACACCTTTGAAAAATGACTTTGATTCTCTCAGTATACTGTTTCAGTGATTCATTCTTTATGTGCATTTACTCAGCGGACGTGAGTGGGGAAATAAGATTGATGCTAAATTTATATGTTAATTTTAATATTGAAGCTATCCTGTATTTGAAGAATAAGATCAATTCTTCAATTTCATTTCTTACGTGATATTGCATATTGTCATTACTGGAAAATAAAATTATTTCTGAACGCATACTATCCAAACTTCAATTCTAGTGGACATATAACTCTGAAGCATCATTCTTCTCCCTTCCCTATAACAAGTAACTTAATACAGTATTTTAACATTCTCACACTAGTCTGCCACTGGAAGATAACAAAGACAAGTTTTTTCACCCTAAATGGTGTTTCGTTAATATCCTCCCTGCAGCATTCTGCACTGTCACAGGCAGATTTGGTGCATGACTCAGCAACTCCCTGCAGGCTGTTGCGTGTATGATACAACAGGAATCTTGGTTAAGAGTTGTGTTCCTCACTAGAGACTAGTTCCATTCATTTCCACAATAGCAGCAGCGCTTGACAGCCGTAGCCACAGCTATATGCCAAGCATGCCTGTATACAGGATGAATCCTGACCTTAAGTGGAGGAGCAAACCCTTAGAGCACTACTGGGAAGCAGATCCTCTAGAGGATGGATACAGAGCGCCACATGCACAGAAAGATTTGGCACCTAAGGAGGGAGATGTACTTTAAGGAGGTCTGCTGCCAGAGACCAGGCTCTCCTGAAGCTGCAACAGAAAGAAAATATTTACAGCATCTTTGGGAGTGTGGTTTGCTACTTTTTGTCTTTGCAAGCTGTGCAGGAGATTAAGCTGAGGGATGGATAGTAGGAACCTTTGCAAGGTTACATCCTTGCTCTGTCCACTAACTTGAGGAAGATCACGTAGGTCAGTTTAAATTTCAGGTGTCTCTTTTTCCCTCTGCATGAGATAAAGATAACTGCCACAAGGATTTAATGTTATCTGAAAATTCTTAAAAAACTTAAGTGCTCTGAGTGCAGAGCATAGTATTTACCAGAACATGTAGTGTAAGAGTTTGTTTCTAATCTTTTCTCTCCTGGAGAGAGAGGCAACAGCTTTTCATTAGCTGAACAGTGCCTGCCTTCAGCAAGAGTGTTCCTCTGAAAACCTAAGGTCAGGATAATCCTGAGATAATCCTGAGTCGGCCACTGTCATACAATGGCTAAAAGTTGTGAGACCTAAGGTAAG